TCCCCCAGTTAGGGATGCGAGTGCTTAAACCTGCAGAACATCCTCATCTCAAGGACAGGGCTGCTGCTGCTGCATGATTTGGGCTGAGGACTCTGCACTAACACTATGAGGGTACAGAGAGGAGGAATGGGAGCACAGATGATAGATGCTGTGCTATCAGCAGGGGTAAGACAGCACCGAAGGATACAGAACAGAATTTGGAGGTAAAGGGAAACCAGCTCCAAAACAAAATACCTTTCCTATTTAAGGCAACAGAAATACCAGCCACACGCTGTTTACAGCTTGTTAGTTTATGTAGTTTTAATTCCAATGTGTTCTAACCTCAGATGCTTTAGTCATATGCTCCCCGTTAGCAAGGTTACTCTACCTGCTGATAAGCATCAATTTTTCTTTTTTTTCTTTTTTTTTTTAACTTTACCAATAATAAGCTTTTGTGGAGTTTGAAGGCAATTCTGGTAAGTTCTGTTTTTTCCAACTTTTCTCTTATTGATATTTCCACTGGGGAAGGGAGTACGTGACAGTGTTACTCAAGGTTACCATTATGAATCCCAGTCATCTGATGGGATTTGGACATAGAGAAGCATGGAAGAAAACAGTTTGTAGGCATGGCCCCTTGCTGTGCACCACGTTGCTGAGGGAGCAGCAAGCTTTGCCCAGCTGTGGCAAGCTTTGCACTGTGGGCAGGTCTCTAGCTCATCTGCAAGGTCAGAAACTTCAGAAAAATCACTTTTACGCTGCCCTGCTAAAGCCACCCTCTCCTGCACAGAACAGTTGCAACAAAACTGCCCTCAGGCTGCTTTCCCAGCCATATAGCAGAGGGAGAGACCAGCAGCCCCATGTCCAAGCACAGCCCTGCCCAGGCATCAGGCCAAGCCTACCCGCTCCAGCTCACACAAAGCTGGTTTTAGGGTGACACCAGAGGAGCCCACGCACCCAGGCAGCGCTGGAGGAACTGCCCACCACGGCCAGCCTGCTCCAGAGCTTTCAGGGACCCTTTTGGGGAGGACAGCAAGTCTTGGAAAAGCCCACCTACCACATCTAGCGAGAAGCTCATAAAATTGCCTCCTCTTCACCAAAACACTGCTCTACAGCAACGAAACCCTTATGGCTGGCAGCCCCTCGCCTTCCCACTTGTACAGTGCTCAGCTAGGACCAAGGAAGAATATTGTCAGTATGTGGTCCTTGATTTTATCTTGCTTTTGAGCTCTTGTAGCAGCAGATAAACTATCCATTAATAAAACACAACTTACAAGCATAGACAAATGTTTACCTTCTTTCAAGAGTAGCATTTTATTGACTGATTTTATCTACAGAAGTGGAATGAAAGCACAAATATCATAAATCCCCCACGAAGAGGGATATTTTTGTAAAAGCAGGTAAAAAGGCAACTTCACGAAAGATAACATGCAGAATTAAAAGTCAGGAAATAAAAAATATGTACTTGAAAACCAGAAAGCAGACTGTAGCCTGTCAACTTCAATAATTTTCAGATCCTGATATAACAGCAACTCTTGCTAAATTGGTGGGCCTTTCAAGGCAGTGACAGAAAGTTTAAGTTGTGCCACACAGCAAGCTCCAGAGTGTAAAATATATTTACCCCTGACTTAATGATGGAGTCAGCCCTCTTTTAAACAAGCAATTCCATGAACAAGACTCGTTTTAAATAGCTGTTCCAGAATAAATGCATCCTAATTCCCAGTCTTTCCATTACCCTCCTCGTAGATCCCCCTCTGCAAGACAAAAGGTGAGCTGATTATCCTTCCACTATACAAACCTGCTGCTCAGAATTCCCTTTTCTACCCGAGAATCTGATTTTTGCAAGATTTAAAGGCATTTCATACCCCAAAAGCCCCTAACCCATCGCACCCAGCTGAAGCTGGCCTGAAGACCTTGAAGCAGCTGCGAGAGAGGGGACAGACAACTGCAGAAGCCCTGTTTCCTTGCACAGCCACACAGAAAGGAGCGGGGACTATGTGGCCCATGCAGAGGGGCAAGTGGCAGAGCTCGTTCCCACCCCGGGAACATCCCATCCCCTCCTCACCCGGGCAGGGTCACCCCTGCTCCAAGCTCCTTGACCTGGCAGGCAGCACCGCAGGGGCTCCCACCTGACCCCAAGGCAGCAGAGGATTATTTATCTAGTGCGGTGTTCCCTGTCTCCTCTCCGCTGCCAGAAATCTTTCCAGCAGGAGCGTTTCTTTTCCATACAATCTGGTGATAAATCCTGGCAGGCCAGGCGTGAGCCAGGAGGGTACTGGGGTTTCATAACTTAAACATTACATCCTGCAGTTCTGCGGAAATTAAATAAACAGACATAAAACAAATGGTCACAAATATTTCAACACCTATTCCAAAACACGAGTCCCAGAGACAACAGAGGCTACTGAAAGTCAAACAGCAGAGCACCAAGCACTTGGCACGTGCATAAGAGATGGCAGAAGAATACCTCACCCTTACAGCCAAGGGCTGAAACGCTGCAAGGAACGATGCTTCCGAGACAGCATGGCTTAGGGTCTGCCTGCAAGCCACGGGCTGGATGGTTGCTGCTGAGCAGCTGCTAAGGGGGTCCAGGGTCTGCTAGAGACATCTCCTCCTCCCTCCCCTAATCAGCAGAACTACAGGGTTATACCAAATGTGGGGTAGCTTAAGATACTTCATTTGCCATGTTACTTGTCTGGTAGGTAGAGCTGGTCCTGGTTGACCATTGGCACCGTCATCCCCCAAGGCCGGTGAGGAGGATGCAGGTCCTCCTGGCAGGAGGCGAGCCCCACTTACGCAGGCAGGCTGGGAGCTGTGCGGATTTCGGCTGCACGCTCCTGTGCCACCCAGAACAGGGCATCTCGCGTGGTCTGAAGTTGCCATGGAAACGGTGGTCCTATATAGGTCATCCCATCCTGTCCCAGGACTCCTGCTATGGCTTGAGATCTTGCTCAGCCTGGCATCAAAACAGCTCAGGATACATTGCTGGAGGTGACTCACGTCTGCTGCAGTTCCCTGTCATTATACAGGGTGCAGACATTGGTCACAAAGAGGTCAGAGTCGTAATGACAAGGCATCAGGGCTTCTCAAATAACAATTAGCTGCCAGCTGAGCTGGGCAACCTCCAGCTCCTTTAAACAAAACTCTTGTGCCAGGTACATGGACCACACATAGCAAGTCTTTTCATAAAAAAAAAAAAACCCAAACCAAAACAACTCACCTGGTATCACATTTGAGTCCTCAGAGAAAAATTCAGGCAGCCGATTTTAAGCAGAGTTTGATTAAAAATCAAGAACTATCTTTCTATTCTTACATGCTAACCTGATGTTTTTGAGGCAGATCTCAGTTACTCCCTTTGCAGCTCATTGTGATTAATTTAGAAATACTTCTCTGAAAAAAAATCCCAAAGGTGTAACTGATAACAGCCTATTCAACCAGCCAAAATCCTGCAAATACGCCACATTGCTTCTCTGCCTTCTGTCCTTGTCCGTGCCAGCTTGTGAAATTCAGGTCATGGCCATTGTGCTAATACTCCACACCCTCCATCTCCACAAGGCTGCCTATAAACATCAGAAACCAGCTCCCTGTGCGTAGCCTTCGCATCCCACTAGAACACGGTGATGGGGAAGGTGCACTGGTTCAAGGGCAGGGCTGTAGGATGCAGGAGAGCCTGCTAGAGGAGACAGGGCCCCCCCGCTGCCGAACTCATCCCCCACCAAGGAGAACTGCCACCGAGGAGCTTCCAACTCTTGGTGCTAACTGCAAAACCCGTTTATTTGCCTGAAGTGACCTCAAGCAAATGACTCCCAAACAGAAAAATACAGTGCACCCGTAAGGCAAATGACTGCAACAAAGAAAAAAATCCTAATAAAAATAATCAAATTAGCCTTCCTATAGAGTGAGAAAGAAGGAAGAACAAGATGATTTCTTTTTTTTTTTTTAAATACCTACGAGTAGCTCACATGCTACAGTGTCCTTTGGGTAAGGGAATGGCTGAGAGTTGGCACATCAGGGCATCTGGAAATAATGCAATACATCTCCAGATCTGTAGTTAATTTTCCAAAAACATATGTTACCACTAGCCTGGACATTATGTTATTTTAAGTATATTAATCACAGAATGGTTTGGGTCGGAAGGGACCTTAAAGATCACTTAGCTCCACCCCACCCTGCCATGGGCAGGGACACCTTCCACTGGACTAGGTTGCTCCAAGCCCCATCCAGCCTGGCCTGGAACACTTCCCAGGATAGGGGCATCCACAATTTCTCTGGGCAACCTGTTCCAGTGCCTCACCACCCTCACAGGGAAGAATTTCTTCCTTACAGCTAATCTAAATCTACCTTCTTTCAGTTTAAAACCATTACCCCTTCTCCTACCACTACACTCCCTGTTACAGAGTCCCTCTCCATCCTTCCTGTAGGCTCCCTTTAAGTACTGGAAGGCCGCTATAAGGTCTCCCCGGAGCCTTCTCTTCTCCAGGCTGAACAACCCCAAATCTCTCAGCCTGTCTTCCCTCAGAGGAGAAGTGCTCCAGCCCTCTGATCATCTTCGTGGCCCTGCTCTGGACTTGCTCCAACAGGTCCATGTCCTTCTTGTGTTGCAGGCCCCAGAGCTGGATGCAGTACTGCAGGTGGGCTCTCACCAGAGTGGAGTAGAGGAGCAGAATCCCCGCCCTCGACCTGCTGGCCACACCGCTTTTGATGTGGCCCAGGATTCAGTTGGCTTTCCAGGCTGCAAACCCACATTGCCAGGTCCTGTTGAGCTTCTCATCAACCAACACCCCCCAGTCCTTTTCCTCAGGGCTGCTCTCACTCATCAGCCAGCCTGTATTTGTGCTTGGGATCGCCTCAACCCACGTGCAGGACCTTGCACTTGGCCTTGTTGAACTTCATGAGGTTCGCATGGGCCCACCTCTCAAACCTGTCAAGGTCCCTCTGGATGGCATCCCTTCCCTCCAGCGTGTCAACTGCACCACACAGCTTGGTGTGGTTGGCAAACTTGCTGAGGGTGCACTCAATCCCACTGTCCATGTCGCCGACAAAGATGTTGAACAGCTCCAGTCCCAACACCGACCTGAGGCATGCCAGTCGTCACTGGTCTCCACTGGGACATCAAGCCGTTGACCACAACTCTTTGAGTGCGACCATCCAGCCAATTCCTTATCCACCCAGTGGTCCATCCATCAAATCCATGTCTCTCCAATTTAGAGATGAGGATGTTGTGTGGGACAGTGTCAAATGCTTTGCACAAGTCCAGGTAGATGACGTCTGTTGCTCTTCCCTTACCCACCAATGCTGTAATCCTGTTGTAGAAGGCCACCAAAATTGTCAGGCATGATTTGCCCTTAGTGAAGCCATGTTGGCTGTCACCAATCATCTCCTTATTTTCCATGTGCCCTAGCATAGTTTCCAGGAGGTCTGCTCCATGATCTTGCTGGGCACAGAGGTGACTGGCCTGTAGTTCCCCAGGTCTTCCTTTTTTCCCCCTCTTAAAAAAAAAAAAAAAAATATATATATTCAGTATTAATTGTATGTTTATACAATACACAGTTATATGTATACCCAAAGCTTCCATACTTATTCCAAAAATGCACTTTGCAAAGAGAGAAATAGTTCTTCATATTCTAAATATGTGCCATTTTTCATTAGATCAAAGCACTGAACCAACCACCGGCTGGTGCTTGTGGCTGATACACCCTCTGAAAGCACCACAAACTCAGCAAGCATTATACCCCACGTTCCTAAATCTCTGTAGGCTGCCCCAGTGTTACCCGGTCTATCGCTTCACTCAGACTGCTTAAACCACTACCTGCTCAACATCTTGTCCAGCAAGCGTTAGCTTTTGTGGGGACTTTGACAGAACCAGGAAAATAATCTGTTGTTTTAGAAAGTAAGCTAGTTGACTCAGCACCCTGGAATAAGAGTCGGCCGAGCACAAGCTGCATGTTTGGGAGGGGAGCAGCCTGAGCAGCAGGCACAGCTCAGTACAGGATCGGCTTCTCCAAGGACAAATTTCACACACAGCCTCCCTGGCCTTCCCAGCAGGTCCCTTCCCTGGCAGAGGAGCAGGAAGAAGAGGAGAGGCCAAGCCCTCGTACATCTGTGGGTCATGGTGCGCCCAGCACCGTGATGCAAAGGGGGGGTGCTGCAAGCTCGCATGGTGCCCTGCACAAGCGGACTGGAAGGGTGATTACAAAGCCAAATTAAGATGGTGCTAAAAATGCCAGAAACTACTTGATCTCTGCCTATCACCACTCCTCCTGCTGCCAGGACTCACTGCAACAGCACTTCACCATGTGCTCAGAGAAGAGCCTGTCCGTAGGGAGATACCACGCTATTCCACCTCTGCTTAAAAAGCCATAGATCTTGTATGACTTTCCTTCCCCCTTCACATGTTTTCCATATCAGAGTTAAACACACAGTCCTGCTTTCTAAAGTGCCGCCTTTCCCTTTGAGAGAAAAAATCCTGTATTTTTAGCCCACACTGCTCAGCAAGCAGAGCTTATGTAGCTGATGCACTTCTGCACCCCTCCATCCCCCCAACAGTTTTCCACTGGCCACTTCCAAGTGAAGAAAGCACTGCCAGGGATGCTTGGTTACCAACTGTCCAGGAGAACAAGTTGAAGAGAGATACCTTCCTCCAAAGGAAAGGTACCGGAGGAGTTTATTCCTTATTTGACATCAGAAAATCCAAACACAGCTGCAGGATGGGATAAAATCTGCCCACTGTGGCAGCTCAGCGAGTTTGTTTTTTTCAAATTAATGACAGGACCAAGGAATGAAGCCTACCCAGAGAGGGATTCTGTCCAAAATTTTCCTTCAGCAACAGAATAGCTGGCCAGTTTGGGTCCTTGATTGTCTGCAGAGCTGACAGAAAAATAGATTTGCATTAGTTTAAAAAATGCAACGTTTGAAGTGATTTTTAAAAGAACATGGACTTTTATGAACTTGTTCCTACAAAGTCACTTTCTGCAGCTCATTTTCTGATGTGGGTTTTAGCTCTGCTTAGTACAGCATGGGAAAGCATGACAGCCAGTTTTATCATAAAATTCCAGAATTTGAATGAAAAGCTCTTCTCTGTCAATCTGACTGCTTTCTAGAGATTGGATGTGTCATATCCCCATAAACATCACTTATGCATCTGTTCTGACAGTCTAGTGGTAGTTTAATCCTACTTGATATCCAGAACACCACTATGAACTACTGCTTAATAAAATTGTAACTGGGCTTGGGGTAGTTCTTCAATGCACTGTTTAGCTATTTTTCAACAGACAGTCCTTAAGGATTCACTATCATCAAATTGCACCCTAGCAGGCTTGCAAAAGTTAAAACTAAAGTCAGAAAATAATAATGAAGAATACATTTTTAAATCATTTTTTATATGCATGGGAGAGTATTGCTCAACAGTGACACGAAAACCACTTTGAGAAGCCATGTAAATAACCAGGTATTGAGAGAAGCCTGCCCCAAATTCAAGTATGTAAAATGAACAGGTTTCCTTGACTTCTGCCCTGGAGGAAGACAAACGAAAAGAAATCAGACCACTCTCCTGTACTGCAGCATTAATGACCATTTAAAACTTCACCGGCCAAACACAGGACAGAAGTAAAGTGCATCTGAGGCACCACAAACCTGGACCTGGAGGCATCTGCCAAAGCGTGGCCTCTCTCAGTCAGACCTGAGCATCCTCAAGCGCCCATAGGGGACAGCTGAGGCTGTATCCCAGGGTACAAAGGGGACAGCTCTATACGTGTGGGGAAGTGCTGCTGTGCTGGGGCCAGTGCTTAGGAGCATTGCAGGAGACAGAGGTGCTCCAGAAGAACATGAAACAATGCTGCTGACAGCATAGTTCTCCATCAGGGAGAAGGCAGATGACATTATAGCCCCTATCGGAACCAGGTCCTCAGTTTCTCGATGTGCACTCTAATTTAATTCAACACCACTTTCTGACATGCACGTTAACATTTTGCTTCAGCCTTGCCCTTCAGACCACAGCAAAGCACTGAGCAGGCTGCTGGGGGTCAGAAGCTCCTCTGGTAGGGAAAGAGCGGGGAGGGGGGCAGCGGAAGAACTGAAAGAGCCAGTGCCAAGCGTAGGGAAAACCTGGAATGGCACATTTGCTTTTGTTCACTGCATCTCAGAAAACCTATAGAAGTCAGGAAGCCCAGGACAGGACAGCTTCCAGCACAGCAGCAGCCACGGCAGTCAGCACCAGCACTGCTGTGAGCAGTACCTGCCGGCAAAGCAGACTTCTATGCTGTGAAAAAAACAAACAACAACAACAAAAAATCCCCAACCAACCAAAAACCAAAACCATGGAGATGTACGATCCATAAGAAGGAGCAGCATCACTAATTGACAAGAAATGCCTCGCCTCAACACACCAGCTGAGCGTTAGCCAGCTCTGAGCTTGCTGTGTCCCTCCAGCAGAGATACCCCATGCCGAGGGGGACCTGGCCTAGTAAGGATCTTCCCAGTTACTTTCCTGACCAAGATCCCAGACTGACAACCCCTGCCAGTCACCACAGCCCAAGTCAGCCGTGCTGCTTTTTGGTACAAGTTTAACTCAAAGATTTGTAGTGTTTAATATTCTGCCCCAAATCAACCACCTGCTCTTACTTGTTGGGGGAAAAAAAAAAAAATAGAGCTTCACAAAACAAAGTTTAAATCACACATACAAGTCAGTTTTTCCACTTCTGGAGTCAACAGCCACTGGTGTTTAGGAAACTGCAAAGATGGCATCAGTCCCATCTAAATTATCTTTCATTTAGTGCAGCTGAAATGTTGGTTATCTCTTTTTAAGCTAACTGAACACATGCCTGATTAAACAGGTACAGCCAGCTTCTTTGCTTGCACATAGCTGTTTACATGTAACAAAAAGTAACAATCCTTGCCGACTATAAATTGCTATTACCAGGGCTATAGCTTATCATAATGCAAACAGAACTTCAAGGACATCAGTTTATAAGGATGGAATTAAGAGACATAGTAATATATCAGCTGGGCAGATTAAAATAAAGGACCCTGAACAAAACTAACCACTGCATCATCAATATACTTCATCAGCAAATCTTGATTGCACAAGTGTGTGAATTTTTGCATTCCTCCTCATAGCCTGCAGACAAATTTTGTTTAAATATATCAGAATGTCTTATACATATGTGCAGTGATAAAAGAGTTGCTATTAAATACCAGAGTGCTGCATTTTTTTGCTTTTCCTTCGCAGGGTAAGCTGTAAAGGCATAGGAACTCTGCGGTCTCCAAAAGCACTGTGTTATCTCAGGCTGGAAATGGGATTTTTCACTCAGAACCATCCAGCCTTTGAAAGCCTCCTACTTACCCCCACAACGCATTTTAGGGCCACTGTGGCTGCCGTAATCTTTTAAGAGCACAGCATCGTTAGCTGATGAGCACCATCTTCACAGACCTGTGGACGGTCATCTGCTTCTGCATCAAAGCAAAAGCCCAGCTGCCTCCTTGGTAGCCAGCATCACTGCTGACAGCCCTGAGGGCAGTGGCAAAAGCCCCCCAGTTTGGGTCAGGTGCAGCTTCTAGCCTCTGTCAAAAGCCCAGAAAGTTAGGAAGGGGAGCCAGGCCACGCAAGCAATCCACATCGTGTCCAGGAGCGCAGAAGATACAGAGGAACTGCAGTCACGTGCTGAAAGCTGCCATGTCCTGGCAGCCTTCCTTGCTGCCCCCCGCCGCCCCCAAACAGCAAATCGCTTACAAAGGGAAAGAGTTGATTTGGCACTGCTGCTGACGAACTCGATCCACAGCCACTGCCTGCCAGGAGAGCGCTGGAGGCACAGGCACCTTCCGCAGCTTGCTCCCCGTAACAGCAAGGAAAAGCAAGTTATCAGTGCCCACAGTTCTGTCTTGCTCAGCATCCAGCCTGCAATATTGAAGGTGTAGTCATAAAAAGAGCTCCTTTTGCCATCTTGCTCTGCCCATGGATGGGCTGTTTCTCAGTTTGTTTCTCTTAAGGGGAGTCCTGCCAGATGCCATTTCCTACTCACTAAACTGAGATCTAC